TGCGACACAAGCTCACTTGATTTTGTCGCAGCCGCCACGTGGATGTGTCAGCCTCCACTCTGCGACACTCTCAGAATTCAATATGCTGAGACCGATGCCGTGTGGCTACTCACCTTCTTGTCAAATATGTACTAGCTCAACGCCTATGTCAGGGAATTAGAAAGCCATGAGAATTCCTTGGTACCAGCCCGGGCTCGACTTTGAGCTCCAGACCCACATGTGCCCCTACCGTGTCAATGGCTTGCCGCATAGCATGCCGTTCATTTTATTACGAATTCAGTCAGATGGTGTTTCCCTGGTATAATGCTGTGGTTCCAGCACCTATACCCGCACTCAACCTTTGGACTCCATCGGCTCAAACAAGATGGCAAACATCACCAGCGCCAGTAGCGATTTGGAAGCTGTTGGTGGTGGTCTTCCACGGGCAACGGCTGCTTTCACGGCTATGACCTGGTACAACTCGATCGAATTACTCTTTCTCGTATTTTTCACATTCAAGAGATACTCTGGTCTTTACTTTTGGAGTTTGATTGTCGATGTACTTAGTACTGTTACATACGCCACAGGCAGGTACACGTCCATGTATCTGATATCATGTCACTAACTGGCTCCCTAGGGGCATATATGAAGCAAAACAATGTTGCACACGACACCCACGTCGACAACATACTCATGACTGTTGGGCTAGTCTTGATGGTCCCCGGACAGTCCTTGGTCCTGTATTCTCGTTTGCACCTTATCTCATCGAATCGGAAACTCGTACGCTCGATTTTGTGGATGATTATCGTGTTGGCTGTTGTTCTCTGTGTCCCTACCAGTATGCTCAACCTACGCGAGTATACGGACCAACCGGGCACATACACTCGGACCTACGCAGCCATGGCAAAGACACAAATGACTCTCTCCAGCTTCGAAGAAGTCTTCATATCCTGTGTTTATATCTGGGAGACCCGCAACGCGATGCGTGTGAACTTCAACGCACAGGATCGGAAGTGGATGTGGCAACTCATTGCAATGAACATTTTTCTGTTGGTAATGGACACTGCACTGCTCGTAATGGAGTTTCTGGAACTCTACATGATCTTGAACACCTTCAAATCACTGGTGCATAGCTTTAAGCTCAAGATCGAATTTGCGGTTCTCACCCAAATGGTCCGCGTAAGCCAAACCAGACGACAGTCTGGTAGCTCGGCGACAAAGGCTTCGGAGAATCTCGAAAGTACAAGTAAATGGAGCAATTTTATGTTAGAGCAAGTTGAGGACGGGGAAGAGGAACAAGAACAGGGGGAAGAGGAGGAGAAAGAGAAGGACGAAGGAGGTGACAACAAGAAGAAGGGCAAAAAAGAAAACAAGAAACAAGAGGAAGATGATGAGGGGGAGTAAGATGCGGATGGAGAAAAAGAGAAGAAAGGGCAAGGACGGAACGTAACAGGCCATCCAGCTAGGCTTCATCAAAGATGAGGAACTCCATCTCAATCCACATGCTGAATCAGGCGTAGCCTAAGAATTCATAGGCTTGCCAACATGCTAATGGGCGATAAATACACGCGATAGCAGAACTGAATGCACAGAGTGTAGGTTCATCTGCTCAGGCTCGCCAGTACAGCTAAGGGAAAACTTGGCGCGTGATGTTTGTGATCTCTCCAGAGATTCTCGTAGCCTTCGACAGCCTCACAGACACTGCATATCAAAGATTCTGCTGTCCAGGCGATTAAGAAAGATACACTATGGGGCTATGGGCTATATTGACAGACTACCATGTAGTAGCGCACTATACCAGTCTTAAGATATTTCAACACATCTGTTCAGCGTAGTTTATGGTGCTGTCTTAGATGTCTTAAGCCCAATTTTGAGCCTAAACGCTACTGGTATAGCGCCATAGTAGTCAACCCTGTTAGGCAGCCACCCAACTACGAATTCGTTGCTACCAGCAGCGGCTGCCGCAAACACCCACGAACCATGCTTGGATTTTAGAAGCTAATACAACTTTTGGCCACCATGGATTCGCAGAAAGCCATCCCATCGTCAGCCAAAAAGTTCATTGAGACAGGCATCGAGATAGTCAGTTGCGCAATATGTCACGACACGTTTACCGCCGAGCACGTCGCCATCCAGATCATAGCGTGTGGGCATCAGTTCGGTAAGAACTGTCTCGAAGAATGGCTGCGACAGAGGAATTTGACAGGCACATGTCCACTGTGTCGTGGCGTGCTGTTCAATGCGTCCAACATTCCCGACCGACGAGGTCGAGCGCGACAAGTGAGTCCGAGTACCGGTACCTCGCCCCCGATCTTTGCTCCCGACGCCCCGGTTTCTCCTACCCGATTTATCCAGTATTACAGCCAAACTTTTAACGTACGCGACTCGACGCAGGGGGGATTTCTCAGTAGACTCTGGTCAGGCATCATGAATCCGCCTCCTGGCGACCAGGTAGCCACCGCTGTCCGCATCATCATGTTGGCATTTGAGGAGTTTCCTGGCCCGGAATACAACGCTTTAATGAGGTATATCAGTCGCATCTCTTCCATCGGTCCTCAAGCGACCTGGACAACCTGCCCTATTACAAGCCTCTTCAACACGCTCTCGTGCGTTGCGCGCTGTTGTCAGAAGGGGTTTACGCTTTCCTTGGCAACGTGGCAAGCCATAATGCGCTATCAACTTGACGCCGGAAACGATAATCTGCATTGGCTCAACATACGAAACGCTGCTTGGATGCTACATGGACTGCACAGGGAAGGTCAATCAACTGGAAAACACTGGCTCAAACTACATCTCTTCCTCATCATTCTGGGTATCCATCGATCTGAGCAGCATCTGCCCGTTTACGGGGCTAGAGAACTACTAGAGCTAATCTGCATCCTGGGCTGTGAAGATCCTTTTGGGACGCTGGCACAGGAGTATTCGACCAGGCTTTTTCTCTTAGCTGCGATTCATGTTTTAGAGTTGAGCAAAGTCCTATATCGGCCTTGTCGGGATGCGCGTGGCTTGAGACTGCTTGATGATAATACGAGTCGGCAGTTGTTGAAGCAGGACGTTGAGGCGCTGTGGCTTGAGGGTATGACATTGGCAGCGAAGGAGATGGCAGAAGGTCGGTCCTTTCTATAAACGCATGCATACAAGTGGTGTAATAATGTACATGCCTCACTGGGAATGTTTAACAATGTATTGTGCAAGTCAGAATTAGATTGCTCTCTTGTCCAATGGTCCCCATGTATATGATCTCGGCATGTACTGATTCCTTCTGTGTTCTAGACACCTCTCCAGAATTTGTATCTTACAAAGTGCAATCCAGACCGTCATAGTCTCCACAATCATCTCTTCACTCTCCCAATACTGACACCGCAATCCTCAAACTAACCTAAACGTATCGGCATTCCACCCATACACACGCTCCAGCTTCCTTCCAAATCGCCTCACCATAACGTACGGGATATCGCTGTCAGGGTGCGGCTCGTGAAAATGTATACCACGTTCAATATTGACACCATCGCCAGGTGTGAACTGCTAAGCGGATCCTTGCAGTTTCTCCGTAGCGAAACCTAGCCTAACCATTGCTCGCTTGAACTCATCCCATTTTATTGCCTTGGGGAAGTCCTCGGTGTCGGAACAGGAAACGTGGAACAATGCCCTCATTGTCTTGTAGGTGCGCCTGTCGAGCTTGAATGTCTGCGGGGGTGCGCTCGTCTCATGCGCTGGGGCATTGCTGTCAGCAGCGGGCTCTACCACTTTAGGAGCAGCAGCATTGCCTTTGGTCTTGTTCTTGACCTTCTCTTGGATAGCCAATTTGTTGAATGTGCCTGTGACCTAAGAACTTGCATCGTGGTAGATCCTTGAGAACGGTCGGTAGACATATTTTTGTATCTCTTGTGGTTTCGGCTTTGTGGTCCAGGGCTCTTCCCAAGACGGCGTGCGCTGCATGCGACCACTTTCTGAGATGCATTGTTTGATGACTCTATGCTGTGATATTCCCGTTGTCCTCTGATAGAATCTATCAACGCACTCCCAGAATTTGTCTAGGTTCGCCTCTACAGTACGCATAGTCTTGACGTTATGACTGTTGCGGACTTTGTGGACGGGATATGCTAGCTTCCCGCGGAAGGGATTGATAGACTGCACCGGAAGTTGACAACAGTCGGGATGATAGAGCCATTTGAGAAATTTCTCATCGTGCGAATGTGGCATATCGTGGTCAACAGCATATCCTTTTGGTGTTTCTCGCCATAGAGAGCAATGCATGAGACATTCTCCGACGATTGTCAGCTGCGTGAATAGCTCTGAAACCCTGGGAGACATCAGGTCTCTGGCAGGCTTGCTGTTTCTCAAGATTGTTGCCATGTTATCGAGGATATGATGCAAAACTTGGTCAGGAAGAGGGTTTTCTAGAGTGTGGTAGAGTTGCTGGAACGCCACTATGAGCTGAATCTCTTCAGAGGTGCCAATACTACCACGCATGAACTTGAGCTTGGGGCTAGCAGTGGAGTCATCCTCGCGAACGTAGAATTTTCTTATGTTGGGCGCAGTTGCATGATATCCGTGAATCATTTTTGACAATAGCACGGAAACATTCCTCGTCCGGCAGTCAAACTCCCCCATCAGACATGAGAAACGATCGTGCGAGTTTCCTTGAAAAGCCTCTACAAGTCGGTCGAGGATTTCATAGAGTTCCTTCCATGCGGCGAACATGGTGTAGGCTTCGATGACTATCTCTCTGGCTTTCACCATTAGAAATTCTACCGTGTCCAGAGCTGAATCAACCAGACTTTAGGCATTCAGAACCAACTTAGGGCTATGGTAGGCGAGTTCCTCAAACACCTCTGCAAAGTAAGATGGATCCTCTCGTAGAGCCAGGATATGGTCTTTTGCGCTGGTGTACAAGGCGCTGAAGTAATCGCGAAGCCTCGAAAAATCTAACGATCTTCGGTTTCTGTAAGGCGCAGCCATGAGTAAGTCTGAAAAGTCCGTTTGTCCAAAATCCCTGTGCATTTCGAGATCGGAAGCCGGTGGCTGCTCTTGAACATGTCCACAAAGGAGCACTTCCTCTGACATGCCATGCAGGATATGCTGGCTGCATGCCACCAAGAAGCTGTAAATCTTTTATTGTATATACAGAAACTGAAGTCCAGGACGGGGACAGTACTCATACCCGTCTTCGGTGACGGAATACTCCTCAATAACTCTGATGGCAGCATTTAACTTTCCATATAGTGCAGGATCGGGGTTTTTTGGAAAACAGTAACACATGCTTCTTCAGTTCTGGCTTAGGACCACATGGTGGAAGTGTTGCCAGAGGACTGAAATACTCTTCCGTCAATGCGAACAAGTAGGGAGGGTTTCGGTCACGGGAGTTGAGGAATGTCAGCAAACACTTAGGCTTTGAGAGGTCTTCCAGGTTGATGAATGGCCATGTGTTCTCGTCCGGAGGAAGGATACGTTCTGCGACTGGAGTATCTTCCAACTCGTCTGCGTTGTCAGATGTCGCAAAGGTGCTTGCGAATGCACGATAATCCGGCCGGTGGAACTCAGGCACGTTCGGCCATGCTGTAAGCAAAATTGACTTCTTTGACCATCTTCTTCTAATTGTTGATTCGTGACATGTGAGAATTGTATGGAGGGTCGTGTAGTTTGTACATATGTTCTCAGCAAGAGTGGAAGCGTGTGCAGCAATACTCTTCACTAAAGATGGCGAGACTTCTTCGTTGCGGTGCAGCTTAATCAGCAACTGATCAAGTCCCAGATCTGTATGCCTAGTATGGTTAGTTGGCGAAGCGTTGAGCTTTATGGGTATGCACTCACTCTACATGCAACACCATTTGGCTGGTCTTGAGATCCCACGTTCGATGTGGAGTTGAAGCACCTTGATGTGAGGTCTTATTATTTGCCTTCGGTCAGAATTTGCGCTGGTAAAAGTCGCGCTGGTGTTGGGTTAGGCGATGGGTTGAGCGGTGTAGGGACTGAGTAGCAAACTGTTGTCGTCACGTGATGGTGGATAACGAAGACGAAGGAACATGACAGAACGTTACCAATAGCTCGCCACCCTCGCTAATACTAAAAGCGGGGTATAGTAAGCCTAAAAATATGCCCCGGATTTGACAGCAAATAACAACCAAGATAGATTATTTCCCAATCCCTATCAAAGCACCTTAAAGCTGTGCAGCATATCGTTCACTGCCCAACGAATGTATGCGATACAACAGTCTTACCTAATATCAATGCATAAAGAACTTAGGCTCATTCTTAGTATTTAGCAACCAATCAACATCTTGTTATCTTTCGTGAATGCATACGTACCAGCACATCTGTACAAGAAAATTCGAGTTTCCCAGTAATTAGTCACTCTCATGTGTCAGCTTTAGTTTAGAGTATATAGTTACTTGATTTTGGCAGTGTCTGACAGAATTCTCATTGACAGCAAAGACATCAGCTTCATATAAATCCTTGTTAGCAAGGATGTATCGTGATGCCGCACCACTACCAGAATCGGAAAGATACCGACAATGCTAATATAACTAGTCCAATAAGCAGAACACTGCAAAAAGAGATAGCTACACTCTTTGCCAAGGGAGAGCAGCTAGACATTATCTTCGACACATCCAAAACAGAGCTAATCCACTTCACCGCTAAGAAGGAGAGGATAGAAAGAGCCCTCATACTCCCAAACAACGACCGGATAGAACACAAAGACACTGTCAAGTGGCTAGGTATCTATCTAGACAACCGACTATCATTCAAATCACATGTGTCTATACGTGTAAGCTAAGCCAGACAAGCTTTCTACAGGCTAGGAAGACTAGCGAACATTGAACTCGGCCTATCAACACACGCTATTAGACAACTATACTTAGCATGTGTAACTAGCGTGTCAGACTACGGAGCACAAATATACTAGCAAAACTAACCCTACGCTACAAAGAAACTACAGTCACTACACAACCTAGCTTGTCGAAAAACTCTAGGAGTGTTTAGAACAGCACCAACAGTCCCTACAAGCCTCGAAGCGAGCCTACTACCACTAGCAATTAGGCTTAACTTAACTATCCGGAACTACGCAAGCAGAGCAAACCTGCTAGCCAACACCCATCTAATTGCAAAGGCAATAACTCGGATCCAATTAACTAATCTCTAACGCTCAAAGAAACTAAACTAGCACAGACAGCTACAAACTATTACTAACGCAATTCCTAAAAACAACAAAAGAGACACAGAGCAGACTATCCTATACCGGTTTAGGCCATGGGATACTCTAAACTATACCGTAATAGTCTCTCAAAAATCCAAAGAAGAGGAGGCAAATGCGCACCAAGCCTACATTAAAACAAGGCTAGACAATTACACGACAATATACTCAGACGCCTCGCAAACACAAGAAGGAAAAGAAATAGGAGTTGGGATAGCAGTCTACAACTCAACTCAGCAAGAGATCTACTCAGAAACAGTTAATATCGGCAGACTCCGCAACAATCAATCGATTGACATGATTGATTCCTATATAGGTTAAAGAATTACTTCATTAGGCAGCCTTTAACCTAGATAGGAATCAATCATGCCGATCCGATTGATTGTTGCGGAGTCTGAATATCGGACAATACCAGCTAGTCTACAACGGCGAACTAGAAGGGATCACACGAGCATTCGAATACGCAGCAAAGAACGCTACAACCGACCAGGAATTTAAGGTCTACGCAGATAACTAAGCAGCAATCTACAGGCTTAAAAACCTATCAGATAACCCAGGACAGCATTGGCAACTCCGATGTCTAAAAGCGGCAAATACGATCCGACGAAAACAAGCAAACATCCACCTACTCTGGGCACCTAGACACACAGATATAGTTGGAAACGAAAGAGCAGACTACCTAGCAAAAGAAGCAACTAAAGAGGACCCCAGATCAACAACAAAGAGCATTGCCTACCTAGGCACGACAATTAAAAGGATACAACAAACAGAACAACGCCAGGAGTATAAGAAATACAAAGCAAGAGCAACCGCTCTAAACAAAGCTACCTACTCAGCTAAATACCCTCTTAAAATCAGCAAAACCATCCAAATGCCACAGAACACGAAAAGAGTAACCTCTAGCGCTTTCTACTCTCTTAAGCTAGGACACGGATACTTCAACTCCTACCTAAAGAGATTTAAGAAACGAGACTCTAATCGCTGCACCTGCCAAAACATCTAAACGCTAGAACACCTACTACTGTACTGTCATCTATACAAAGACCATCGAAAAACGCTCCTACAAACAATCAAACATCGCCCAGTTACACTACCACTACTACTCCACACTAGTATAGGTATAGAAGCAACCCTAGCTTTTATCACTAGCACCAGAATAGGAACAAGAAAATGGTACCTAGGACAGCCACCAGAAGACCTATAGAGAGACACTGTATAAAACTAAAACCACAACCCTCTCCTTTGCCACAAGAGCCCGCTGCTACATCTCTTTCTACTTATCAAACTGCTCTTTAGCACCTGGCAACAAACAGATACAAGCTATCTTTTGTAGAAAAGCCAAAAACCATATTAGCGAACCATACCAGAAAACCATGTAAATTAGAAAAACCAAGATAGAACGGCCTTCGGCCAAAGTCCTACATAGTCTCTGACTGAAAAAGGACTCTAATGGAATAATAATAATAATAATAATAGTCCAATAAGCATAAGCATTTAGCAAATTTTCCTTGAGTATATAGAGGTTATTTAAAACTATAAAACTATCTCATGAACATGAATATGGAATAGAGTGGGACTGGTTGAGTATTAGAGGATGAGGTGATAGGTTCGATGATCAACCGAACAGACAACTTACTTGGTATTTTCCGAAATGAACTATTCGCTGCAAGAGAAGTCGCTCCTGGAACACCCAGGTTCTAATTAAGATTGGGAAGTGCCCAGATTCAGGGTAGAGGCTGTGAAATCTGGGCGGCTATTCGCGAATGTAAAGGCCGTGGAGACATAGACGGCAAGCCTTGTATCAACTACGGTTGGGTGCAATAAATCCACCGTTGCTGACATCATATCATAAAGCTGCGATATTTGCTCATATATTCGTGTCATTGTTGTAGTAGCTTCTTTCCAATCGTCTTTGTCGTCTTGTCTGTTGCCTGAATAAATTAGCATGTGGCTACCTCGCAATTATATCCCAAGTTGTAGCTTACACAACGCATCAATCCAGATGTATATCAGACTGAGCCTGGCGCACAGAGTGACGGCATCACAAAAAGTCTTGTGTAGCTGACTGATGGGTATCCAAATTTGGAGCAGACGATAAGACGCCTTGTCTAGGGGAAGTGAAGGGCCTGTCTTATCCCAACAATGACTGAGACACGCATACTTGGCCGGGGATCCCACGTTCTCTCAGAGATATACGTATGTATCGCCAATGTCAGGGATCCTTTTTGCCAACTGGCTTGGTGAAGATGCACCACAGACTCCATGGTTCTCTACGCAATTCTTGATTCACCCCTGCAGGGTGTGAAGCGCTTGATTCGACGATGTGTCCTCTGATGGTAGAGAAACATTCTTAACCAAACATGCTAATTTCAGATCATAGGAAGGCGCAACTGTCGTGTCGTTTTCTTTTCCTGTATTGATCAGAACTTGATAACAGTTAACAGCGATGCGATGATGCTCCACTCTCCATAGTCATACTAGCCAACGGTTTTGGACTAAAACATCTCTTTTGTCTTTGCATACATGCCTTGTTGGAGCCATATAAGCAATAAAGTGCCCCGCCCGACTAGTATTAAGTGAAAAACTTCCAGCTCCAATGTTACAGTATGCTATTAGGTCCGAGCTGGTTCGATTTCTCGGCTTTGTCCACAAGGTCCCGAAGTCTCAATAGTATTTGGTAACCCCTTGGTTCCCAGTTCTGCCTCCAATAGCTGACGGAAGCAATTTGTTCCTCATGAAGACATTGATGAATATGGGTTGTGACCGCATCGAGTAGTAAGTCGCAACCTTGGTAGGCAGCTGCAGCCCCTAGACGAAGCTCTGCAATATCTGGAGTCTGAGCAACCTGGAATATGTTTCTCTCAAGATACGAAGAAAAGAAGACCTGTCGAACTTCGCAAGGCTCATGGGTGGGAAATTTGACGGTAGACGACGCTGCCATAAGAGAGTCCAGGCTGTCTGTAGCACGCCCATCAGTTGACGAGTCCTCTTAGACTTCGGCATCCATGACCGTCAACAAGCCTAACTCCTTAGAGTAATACAAAAAGTTGATCAAGGTTTATAGAATGAAGAAGATCTTTGACTTCACTAGATGAATTCGTAGTGTATGAACACGTTAATAAGCATATAGCCATGAATGTCGGATCGTGAGTATCGGTAGAGACGTCGGCTGCTTGACACTTCGGCCCGACTTCGGCCCACCTTGCGCAGAGCTTAGGTGTACCTTCGTAGCAGCTATGTTCGTAGACAATCAATACGAATACCAATACCAGTCACCAGAAGAACCTTGTTGTTGTTATTCACCCGTACGATCGTACAAGGCCTACCAACAATGAAGCTACTAAGAGGTGGGGTCACCGGGCAGTACATGAGGTTGCAGAAGTCACATACCAACTCACCCACCGACCGCCCTGTGTTTCAAGGAGGGAGTCGGGAGAACAACGCTGTAATCACGTGTTATTACTTAGCAGTGCTTTTGGGTGGTTCATCGGGTCAACGTGTGCCATGGTACCAGCAGCCCTTTTTCAACAATCTTCCATCGGCACCACTAATGCCGTCTTGCTGTCAGACTATCTGTGCATCACTACATGTAGACACGAAAAGGATTTGATGAGAAACGCAAGCTGTTCTTTTTTTTTTGTACTTTTACAAAATCAAGGTCTGAGTGTACAAGCCTTCCACGTTGAAACCGTTGCTTTCTTGTAGATATGGGTACCAGAATACCATATCTACTTGTGAAGGAAAAATAACATACATACCACGATGCCCGGAGAAGAGATTCGCCGTCGACACGCACATGTTGAGCTGACTGAAAATGCAAAAACCACCACACAAGACGCCGGCTCCAATGCTATAGAACCCTACGCAGAGCCACTAGATCCAGGAGAATAGGAAAAGCCAGATCCTTTGGAGGGTATTTCGTATTGTGCATGTTATTTCGTGGGAACATTAAGGAAATACCGGGAATGTGCGCAAAAGAGTCTATCGTAAACGAAGGGTCCATCGTCGACCATGAGAACGCCAGAAAATGAACTTTTTGTTGATGTATGAACTCCCCAAAACACACAAGGGGGACGGCACAGTGGACGCAACAAGACGAAAAAGGATGACCAGAAAAATCATAACCCACGTGACCACCGTGCATCGTATTTTGCACCATTGTTCGCTCATGGTCTAGTCAACAGGGTCAGAGTATCGGCATCGAGCAAGTCATCCATGCGCTTCCGACTTCGGGCACCGATGCCACCATTGTAAGCCGATCGCAATTGACAGAAAGCCGGTCCATACACGTGCTCGGTTCTAATCAGCTCGGCGTAGTCGGCGGCCACTCGCTGTCGGATTACGCCCTGTGGTGATAGCAAAGACTCCCCGTAAAACTTGATCAAATTTAAAATGCCAGCATCCGTCTCATATTGGACGGCGTCTTCGAATGCCAAATAGCGGAATTCGTCGTACATTGAGTTGTTGAAATTTCGTATCAAAAAATGCGACCAAAACTGGTAAAGAACATTCATGTCGTAAGGCGTTGTGCCAAAGGGGGCAGTTGAACGCTGTTGGAGCGCTTTTGACCGAAGGTCATAATATGACTCATGCGAAGAATCGGAAGGAATGGAGTGGACCGGATTGTGTTGATCTTTGACCCAATAGAGGCGGACAGGAGGAGAAGTTGATCGTTGGCGGCAGTCTTCAGGGTTACTACTTGGGTCATCAGCACGGATACCAGGGACATAGCGGACAGTGGGTAGATGACAGCCAGCCATGAAAGTTCATTGCACTTCCGGAACGGGCTGGCCTGAAGCGAGTACTGCAGAGGCCCTCGAGTATATATCATGATGGAATGCGTGAAGCGCTGCCCACTTACCCATGAGAGGAGCCACCGTTTACCCTCGGTTGACATGTGATTGACTTCTCCAAATCATCTGGCACGCCATGTTTACTATCGATGGAGCCATTAGAAAACGTTCGTGAAACGGAATGAGGCAACGCTGTTTGTGACTGGTCTTGCTTGCGAACAATGACTGTCAAGCTGTCGAGTTGCATGTCAGAAAATAAATCAGGTTCTCCACTCACAGCCTTGGTCGCGTTCTCGATGGGGTGCCCGTTCGAGACAGCAGTGCCTTTTGTTTCCTCAATACCAGCGCCATTCACTGCGTTCTCTGGTGGTACCATTCCACCCTCTTGGGGAGTAGGATGAAAGCTATTCATCTGTGAATACGCGCCTTCACCTCCATACGGGCTCATCGGGAAACCAGGTGACATTGTTGACCACTGGGGAGGGTTGGAGGGGTCAAAGCCGGCAGGGCGAGAAAACTGAGGGACATGAAGCTCCTTTGGGCCCTCGTTCCTTGCACTTGCTTCGCGCTCGGTAATGTCAAGCACCCACAGTTGCCAGCCATCTTTACGACGTAGCAGCTCTTGACCGGTCTCAGAGGTGCAATACTCAACCTCGGCAGACTGCTGGCAGGCGAGTCTAATCGTATCAAGATCAAGAGTAAGGTTCTTGATGCGGTTGAAACCAGCGACAAACTCAAGTGGCACGAACCCCTGCGAGTCCATATGCCGGCGTAGATAGACGTCCTTGAGTAGGTTCTCGAGGGAGAAGTAGTAGGATCTAGTGCACTATTAGCAAAGATATCAAGAGGGTGGTTTACGGAATCATACACCTGAGAGACGAGTGTGTTAAAGACTTGGTACTGATCAAGGCCGCTGCCGTACGGGCTGAACGGTGGTACAGCACTCATTGGTTGAACCATGCCATAGGAATACATGTCATGAGATGTCTGCAGAGAAGGAAGTTGGTAACCGTTTTGGTACGCCTGATACCGGTATGGGTCATTAGTCAGTGACTGAGATCGATGACTATTCCGTCCGTATTTGCCTTGAGGCGCAGGAAAGAAGCTGTTGCTCTCAGGTACAAATGTTGTAGGGGACCGTGGCCCTACAGGGAAGCCTGACGAGGGGTGCCCGTTGGCGAAATGATGGCTGTTACTGTTGTAACCTCCACGCGCCCCTCGACCGCCTCCACGGCCACGCTCGCGGCCGCTAGAGAAGGAACCGAAGCGCTTTGAATGACCGTGGGGGCCATCCTGGTAGGTAGGACCTCGACGCTCACCCTCTCCAGCAGCATCAGACTGCATTCCAGCAGGAGCCCGACGCTCGTCCCAGGTGTTATCCTTGGTGGGTGACGATGCGCCCTCTCTCCTGCGCTCTCCTACACCATGGTGCTCACCGCGGCGGTTCTTGTGAGGCTTGTTGGGGTACTGACGCGGGTAGGCACCGTTCTGGGCCGGCATCTGCGATGTCACGGTTGATCCCCTGGGCTGCACCTCGGACTCAGGCGCTACAAAGCCAGTAGCCTTTACGGCACCATCTCCGTTAACTGCGGGAGCCTGGCTCTTCGATGTAGTCGCGTTGGCAGAGGCATCTTGCGCAACTGCCTCAATGCGCTCCCGCTTGATGTGTTCACCATTGGGTGCAGAGCCATCCTTCTCCGTCTGTTCAGTACCGTTGCTGGCGAAACCAGTAGGTCTGCCACTAGTCGGCGCTCCACCACGTCCACCAGGTCGGCCACCTCTCCGCGCATTTGCAGCATTGGGCAGAGGCGTGTTGAACACGACAGATGGTGTGTATGGGATTTTCACCCACTCCTGCTTACTGGTAGATGCGCTGTCTTTGCGAGCATTCTCCACCTTTTCGCCCTTTTCCTGGGCCTTTTTGCGGTCCTCGTCGATAGCGGTGTCTGGAGTCGGCCATGACTCTTGGTCACGGTTTGGCGGCGGCGGTAGTACGCTCGGCGGCGCTGCTTTGACGTCCTTGTCGGAGAACCTGCCCTTGGCACCGTTTCTGGTCTCGACATCGCCCTTTACGTCTTTGCGGCCTGGAGCACCTTCTCCTCGGCCCTTTTGCTTGTTCTCAGAAGCTGTGCCTTTCTCTTGAGACATTGACTCGGTCTTCTTTGTGGGTGCGCCGGTGGATGCCTGTGAAGCCCCGTTGGAAACGGGCGCGGGTACAACTTTCTGGATCTTGGCCTTCATCTCGTCGGCCCGCAACTTCCATGGGTTCACGGTTGGTACAGGCGCATCGTGCAGCGGCTTGACTACAGTGTTCTTGCCCTTCTTAACCTTTTCGGAGGTCTTCTCTACCGGCTCAACCGACTTGTCCACCGAGGTTGAGGCCTGCGATTTGTTATCCCAGGTCGTTGACTCGGAGGAGGCGTTCTGTATCGATGCGACGTCATCATCTTTGGTCACTGTTGACGAAGATGAGGCTCCCAGATCGGGAGAGGAGACGACCGAGGCATCTACGGGATGTGAGTCCTTGGCTGCCCTAGAAGCAGAGCGTTCTGGCTGCGCCTCGTGAGGGACGGCAGGCTGCTCAGGACGCGACTCGGCCTCAACATCTTCAGCCCAGTTGCTCGGTGAAGGATGTGAATCTGATGCAGATAGGCTGCTTGCTTCTTTAGACTGTGTTACAGGGTTGGGTACCGGCTTGTTCAAGCTAGGCGGCGTTGAAATGCCTTTTGCGGCTTGCGCGTATGAGAAAGTGGCTGCCATGGTGAAGCTGGCGTGTGCGTCTCGGCTACAGTTGGATTGATAAGACGAGGGTGAGCGCAGGGGTCCCCGGTGGGAGCGCTGAAGAGTAGACCAACTGGTGTTGTTGGCGCTGGTGTGTCCGGAGAGGTGTGTATTGACCTCCCCGCACGTAAATGCCGTTGCTGCTACCAAGTCGCGGGTTGGTGACAGAAGGAAGCTGCTCGGTAAGATTTCTGCGGGGGCAGAAATTTAAGTAGTGGCGCGGATAGTGGACCGGTAGTGGGCGATTTCACACGCCGGGGGTACAGAGAGTGTTTCCTAAGATGATGGCAGAAAGCTTCGCAGGTGCTGCAGTAGATGGTGTTAGCGAGGGTGTCGACAGCATGTGCTGAGTAGCAAAGAATGCAGGAGGCAAAAGGTGGGTGAGTAAGAATCGAGGCGTTGTGGTCTGAAATAGTGACGTGGGTGGGCGTAGTGGGATTTTAAAGGGCACCACTGGCCGAAATGAGTGCGTGGGTTGCGGAGGGCTAAGCGGGAAGGCACGCAAAGGACACACAGGGTCCTACTGGCACCAGCTCATAAGCAGACAGCAGGCAGGTGTGTTGCGCAGACGGCCAAACGCAGACGGGCGGGGAAGTAGGCAAAGAGTCTTGAGCAAGCGGGCGTGGGCGTGAGCGGTCAGGTGTGCAAAACTAACCTCTTGAGAGAGTCTGAGTAGACGGTAGGGTCGTCCTTTGAGTGACTTTGGTCAAGCAGACACTTGCGACGGTGGCAGAACGTCGTGGGGTGGCTTGGGTTTAAGTGAGGGTGTCGGTCGGGTAGGCAGAATACGGGCGCCAGGCACACCAAGGTCGTCGTTACAAAGCGGGTTTGGCGGGCAGGTAACGACGAGGCAGCGGGCTGAGGCGGCGTCTGATGGTCGTATGCGAAGTTGACGAGGCAGACCAGGCGCCGGTGGGCAAAATTGACTTGTCGTGTGTGCGGGAGGAGCAAGCGCAGGTGGAAGTGGAAGAAAGAGGGTCACTATCAAGCGCGAATTTTTCTTTCGTTAAGGTGGTGCTCTACTAAAAGACCCCGACAGCCCACGCTACTCGGCGCATTCACCACACTTTTGCCCACGGCCCGTGGAGAGGGGACGTGGAGGTGCTAGCGGGCGACGCGCAGTTTGTACTGCAAGCCAGCGCAGTGTCTGTGAAGCAGTGAAGCCTGCCCGCTGCGCTGATTGTGTGCATGTGCATGTGTGCTTTTGCATTTGCAGCATCGCAGTTTGACTGAGACGCGCTTGGAGAAAACACGCCAATGACGTCTCGCGCACCGTTCTCGACCCCTCATTCTGCCCTACTGCTACTGCCCTACTGCTGCCACTGCCATGCTGCCCTACTAGAAATAAAACATGTAGTAGAAGCCTTTCTATGGCTGCCTGCACGGAGCGTGTGAAAGTGTGAGCGTGTGAGTTGCCATTCGGGCCTCTTCCGTCACGGCCGTGCCGGCATGTGCAGTCCACGTCCTTTTGCCATGGCCCGCACGAGCGAGCTGCGAGCCAGGTACGGGTCCGTCCTTGTGCCCACGGGAAAACGGGACACGACCATTGGCCTTCCGAATCCCGCCGAGGGCGCGCCCAAGGTGCTGTTGGTTTGCAATATACTTATAGCACAGTCATCTCCCACGACTTGCAAGTCAGTGCGCCGGCACAGATAAGTTGCCGACGGCCATCCCGTCGATTTGACTTCTAAGCTATTTGCAGCTGCACCAAACTCGGTGCCTCATATGATGGCACAAACACGGACACATCCACCGCCACAACCACTTTTCTTGTTCCGAACGAAGCTGGCCTGCATTCACACAGCCTTCCTTTTGGCGCCCGCCGTCGCTCTCCGGCTTTGTCCCCGTCCATGCCTGCGGAATGCCTGGAGAATGGCCCTTGTCTTGTTAGAGTATTATACTGTATGTATGATTACAGCGTCATGACGCCCAAGAGGCCAGGGCCAGCAATATCACAGATTGATCGAGCATGCTCAAATACGCGAACCGGGAGCAGCTGATTATCAACAACCAAACATATTTATAGCAGTCGACTAGGTCTTCACTTGTAGCGCGCGGCCAACGTCCACCTCTCCATCCTTATCCTCGCTTTGTCTTCGCTATTCGCCCACCACCAAATACTCCACTGTACATGCTTCCACCCCATGGCCAGAGCTTCTCTGATGAGCATTAAATCTTCTCGCCGAGGCTCGTGCATTTCGAAAGCCACCATCGCTCGGTCAGAGAAATGCATTCTCTTATAGTCTGCGACGACCCTGAATAGTCCTCTGCCCAACGCAGGTAGACCGATTGGCCGCAGCACCGCTCTCTGCCTCTCTGCAAGGATCGAAGAGCGATATATAACATTGAGATGGTGCTGCGAGATAATCTGCAAAGACAGTTGATGAGTCTCGTCGCACAAGCTGATGCCTAACGGGAAGAGAGATGATGCTGGCTGTCTCCATATCACGCTAGAACGTGGCAATGTCACCAGTGGCTAAGGTCGTCTACGGCTGACCTTTGCGCGAACAAAGTCGGCCTCGCTGAGCTCTCTCTCTAACCAAACATCTTCAAGGATGCGTATGCCCTGATATCGAGCCAAGACATCACAGATTGCATCATGTGACCAGGCGGCAGGATTTGGGCACGAATCGGTGACCGACTTTAGAGATTGCTGCCAAGATGAGGTAAAGTCGTATGAAGGGACCACACCAAGGCTTCTTCCAGAACGCCGCTCCAGGTCATTGACAACGTTGCGGTGGAGACGCAAGACGTTGCACAGCTGGTAGTCGTACCGATGCTTAGGAGCATAGTGAATGACTGTTCGTATTATTTCGTAATAAAATCTCCCGTGGCTGATAATACCGTGCGTCTTCTTGCAAACTCGTCCAAGGTAGTGCACATCATCGATGCTCTCAAGATGGTGGAAAATACACACCAGGAGCTCAACAGGAAGGTCCGTAAGTACGGCCACGACATATTTTGTCAAGTGATGACGAGCGCAGGAGGCTATGTATATGCTTGCCAGTCTATAACGATAGTTCAGAAATGAGTGTAGACAAAATATTGATACGCTACGTGTGAGGTGGTTTGGTGCTGAGGGGCGAATTGAAGTGTGCTTCGTAGTAGTTTAGTTGTCGCTTCAGGACTGGAGCAATCAGGAAGTAGCAACTAGGTCATTCTCGTATTGGCAGGTGCAGCTGTGCAAGATGACTTCCTCGAGGGGCAGCTGGAAGATGTATCGCAATATGCATTAGGCTGAAGGCCCACAAGTGTCCTCTTACATGGCCATATGCCTGGGTCAGGTGCTGCCCGCATTTGTGCCAGAGCCTTGTAAGTAAGGTTAGTCAATCAACTAAAGTTGAATGCATACAATGCAGAAACAATTAGAGAGCAAGCTTGGAAGTGTGGGGGAGAAATAGTGGTAGATGCGCGCTGCATTGCTCCACCGGTTCAATCGCGCTTGCCGCATGTGGTTGCTTGGCTTGCCGTTCACTCACTCCCGCATTGTCTCCGCATCGGCGCAACCCAACTCTCTCTCTCGCCCACGTCATACAGTACGCCCTATCGCAACCGACATCAACGCATCGTCAATATGTCGGAAAATAACTCGCAGCCACCCGACACTCACATGGAGATGAACGACGAACTGGACCCGACGGTTGATGACGAGATCAAGCACGACGCGAGTCAAATGGAAACCGACGCCATGAACCTTGACGGCGCAAACGAGACAGAGCCGGCAACAGTCAACGGAGTGCCAGACTCGGCCACCGCATTTGAAGCTCGGATACCGGCCAAGAAGGACGCCACATTGCGCGAGTTCCTGGGTAAGATGGACGAATATGCACCCATCGTATGCGACTACCCGCCCCCCTGACCTAGAGAGCTGTGTATTAACCACGCCACTAGATACCCGATGCGGTGACAAACTACTACTTAACACGCGCCGGCCTACCGCCACCGCCCCAGACATCTCAGCATCTTGCGCGCCTCCTTGCCCTCGCTACGCAGAAGTTCATCGCCGACATTGCGGCCGACGCTTACCAGTTCTCCCGCATTCGCTCGTCCAACACTACGAGCAACAACCCTATGGGTGGTGCTGGAGGACCGCCCGGGACAGCTGCGCCTGGTGGAGCACAAGGGGGCAAAGACAGCGGGTCCAAGACCAAGGACTACAATCTCGGCATTCAGCGGCCAGGGTATGGTGGAGGAGGGCAGGGCGGCAGCCAAGGCCGTACTGTGCTCACCATGGAAGATTTGGGTATGGCCGTGGGCGAGTACGGCGTCAACATCAAGCGTGGCGAGTTCTACCGTTAGCACTTCTTGCATGTCTCTCACGAACATGTGAGAGTTGGACAATGACTGCACGCGGTAGTTTCGAAACACGACATGCATTTCAGGCGTTTGGTCGGCATCTTAGGCGCAAGGGCTTTCTCTCTCTCTATCAGGATATCAGGATATTTACCCACTACAGGGCTCATCATATTTGTACAATAGCAGTACAGAGTGGCTTCTAGATAACCCAAATCGATACCCAAACTCCCGTTCCATGCGCGTGCAGACCCTCCTCATTTGTTTTTCGTTTGCTTGTATGTGAACTGCTTCCGTGTTCTATGGAATATTTGTTAGCCAAGCCTTGCGTGCAGTTGCGCCCAATGGCCTTTTATCTTCAACTACATACGGCGCAAATTCTCCGAGCTTGTGCCCGACCATATCCTCTGTTATGGTAAGGTCCGAGTAGCTCTTGCCATTGTGTATCTGGAACTTCAGGCCGACAAAGTTGGGTAATATCGTCGCTGAGCGGGCTTGTGTCTTGATTGGTGGTACACGTTCGCCTGCCTTCTTCTGTACTATCGGTAGGCTTGGAGATATTAGAGCGATTCTGCTAGGGCTTCAAAGCTGCGGCTTACGCGACGATGTTGGGGCCTAAGTACAAGTCAGCCTGTCCTTTACTTTCACCTCATATCAATGAACCATGGGTTACCTTTCCAGACTGACCGAGCGCAGAGGGCTCGCGTAGGAAACATTGCTGCGTGAGGCGTGAAAGATGCGGTCGGCGAACCTTTTCGACAGGTTCCGATGGCTTTCACGAGAATCACGTGAGAGCGCGGGGCAGCGCTAACGGCTAATGGCTACGGTTGATGGCTTGGCCCAGGCGGAAACGCGTCGCGAATTGTGAGCTCTGTCGTGTAAGCCTTCCTTCAAGTCGAGTGATTGAAGTCTGCAGAAGTCAATTGAGTCGACAGTCTACCCCCACTAGTAGCGACGACACTTCACCGCACAGCATGCCACCACGAGCACGCGGTCAGCAGAGAGGTATACCAAAGAGTCAAGACAAGACGGAATGCATGCGCTAACTCGCCATGTAGATGCCGACACAATTCGTATCCTCGTCGCCACAGACAGTCATGTCGGATACAATGAACGCGATGCAGAGCGGAAAGACGACAGCTGGAAAACCTTTCATGAGGTCATGTGTCTAGCCAAGGAGCATGATGTCGACATGGTGCTGCACGCCGGGGATCTTTTCCATGAGAACAAGCCTTCGAGAAAATCCATGTACCAGGTCATGCGTTCCTTGCGTATGAACTGTCTTGGAGAGAAGCCATGCGAGTTGGAGATGCTGAGCGATGCGAGCGAGAACTTTGGCGGCATGTTTGATCATGTCAATTACGAGGATGAAGACATCAATATTGCAATACCAGTCTTTGCCATCCACGGAAATCATGACGACCCGTCAGGCGAGGGCTCATTCTCTCCGCTTGATTTGCTGCAGGCGTCTGGATTTGTCAACTACTTTGGGCGCACCCCGGAAGTCGATAAAATCGCAGTCAAGCCAGTACTTCTCCAAAAGGGCGGTACTAAGCTGGCTCTCTATGGTCTGAGCAACGTTCGCGACGAGCGCCTGTTCCACACTTGGAGGGACGGTAACGTCAAGTTCTTCCAGCCAGGTACACAAAAGGACGAGTGGTTCAATCTCATGAGCGTCCACCAGAATCATCATGCCCATACACCAACCAGCTACCTTCCCGAGAACTTTCTACCAGAATTCATGGATCTTGTAGTTTGGGGCCACGAGCATGAGTGTCTGATAGATCCCCGATACAATCCTGAAATGGGCTTCCACGTCATGCAACCCGGCTCGTCGGTGGCGACATCGCTCATGCCTGGAGAGGCTGTCCCCAAGCATGTCTGCATTCTAAGTGTCACGGGCAAGGAGTTTACTACCGAGAACATTCGCTTGAAAACCGTTAGGCCATTCATCATGAAAGAAATAGTTCTCGCGGAAGAAAGAGAAATTAAGCAAAAGGAGCTCTGGCGTGTCTCTGACAATCGCGCTAAGATCACTCAGCATCTAAACAAGGTCATCGAGGGTCTGATCGATGAAGCAAGGCGGGACTGGCTAGAGCTTCAAGTCGACAGAGAAGAGGGCGATGACATTGAAGTACCGCTACCACTCGTTCGGCTGCGAGTCGAGTACACGGCTCCTCCGCCGGGCGAGTTCCACTGCGAGAATCCTCAACGTATCTCAAACCGCTTCATGGGTAGGGTAGCCAATGTGAATGACGTCGTACAGTTCCATCGGAAGAAGAAGTCGGCGAACCGATCGCTGAAGATTACCACGGAGGAACCAGACGAGCAGATGCTCGCTGAACTAACGATTGATTCAGTGAAGGTCGATAGGCTCGTGAAAGAGTTTCTCACGGCCCAGACCTTGACAATCCTGCCGCAAAATTCGTTCGGAGACGCCGTTTCCCAGTTTGTAGACAAAGACGACAAACATGCTATGGAGACGTTCGTGAAAGAGAGTCTCAAAAACCAGTTGAAACATTTGATGGAGGCTAATGAAGTTGAAGAGGAAGAGATTGTCAAAGAGATGGCAGAGTACCGCGAACAACTCGAGGACTTGTTTGCCTCAGGACAGCTCAAGAAGGTCCGGAAGTCTAAGACTAAACCTAAGCCGGATAATTGGGACAGCGATTTTGAGGGTCACTGGGCTGACCAACCTGGCGCTCTCATACGATCTGACAACGAAGTAGAGAAGGACGACGACGAGAGTTTAGCTACGATACCAACAAAGAAGGCTGCTCCACGCGGCCGTGGCAAAGCAGCTAGCACAACTTCACAAGCAGTTGCAGCTACGAAGAAGGCTGCACCAGCTGCTAGAGGCGGCCGGGGTAAAAAGAAGGTTGTAGAAGAGGAAGAAGAAGATGAAGAGGAGGAAGACAACGACGTAATCATGGTTGATGACGATGACGATGAAGAAGACAGCGGCGAAGACCTTTTTGTAGCATCACAGAAGAAGGCCCCAGCAAAGAAAGCCGCCGCGAAAACAACAAAAGCACCTGCAAGGGCCAAGTCGCCGGCCAAGAAGACAACTACCGCGCGAACAAAGGCTGCTACAACACAATCAAAGTTGAGCTTCTCTCAAACGCCGACTCAGCGTAGCCAGCCAACTCGGCCCACAACGTCGCGTAGTAAAAAAGTAGTACAAGAGCCCGTAAGTAACAGCATACTCTTCATGTGAAAAGCGACTAATGTATGAGCAGAGCGACGACGAGATCGAATCCGATGATGCCTTTGAGTCAGCGCCGCCACCGAGTACTCGTGCCACCCGTAGGAGATAGTCTCGGTCGCCTCTCAGACTAGCATGAGGGTTGCGATTGAGAAAGACTTCAGGAACACATTGGAATGCAAAAACAGCATATGATATCAAACGTGGAGCATAGCGATGGCGTTCAGGTGTAATTTGGGATAATACGTAATGCAGCATAGAACCTGCAATGCAAGGCATACCGTAGGTGTTATATCCACATTCATGTGATTTACCGTCTTGAAATATCCAGGTATCCTTACGTATGATACCTGTCATCATGTCTCTGTTTTTGGCAATGCTCACTGTTGACACGGACGAGGCTTCCGGGTCCACCGCTCCTTCCTCAACCACAGGTAGTAGCTACGCTTACCAGCATCTCAGCTGCGTCACATTTCACGATGTTCTTCATCAAACCTTCCCCCATCGTCCTTCAATCATCTCTTTCCCTAACAACCGACCCTCATTGACCGTGCTTGGGGAGTGACGACATGATGCAGGCTATAACAACGTACCCGGCAGCTTCACTTGAGCTTCTTCCCAACACACTCATTTTGGTTCCATCTTCTTGTTCCGTCCCGTCTTCTTTCACATTGCTGCACTTCGGCTTTTTGGATAGCTGTCGTTCGCTCGTTGTTCACATTGCCCTCTCATCGATCAGCTTTGAGGTGCGTCTACACTCTCTGGCGTTTATATGCTCATTGATCAAGTGAACATGCGCCATCCAAAAACGATGCTAAACCTTTGCAGGATATTCGCATCACACCATCTCAACCCTTCTCGCCTGTTCGGCTCGACATCTCATTGGCCCTAACACCAACGGCCCAATTAGGTTGGCGACTTGTAGCCTGCGGTACTGGCCTAGGGTAACGGACCATCAACGATGTCTCTTGCATACAGGGTAGACGAACTGCTTGCGCTTCGCGACTCGGTATCTGAATCAGCTGTATCGATTGAGAAGTTTCCCGATGAGGATGTAATCAGAGGTCAGTGATTGGCTTTTACTCTTCGTCGCCACTCACTGTTCACTTTCACCGTTCTTTCAGATCAAGTGTGGATCTCATTTGCGTCCGCAGACACCAGATGGTCTTCTCGCTTCATGCCCCACTTCATCCACGCGTGTTCTATTGGCTTACTCCAACTCCATAATGTGAACAAACGCTGACCTCCTGTCCTCCAGAGCACGTTCTACGCCCATCAGCGTCCGCATCAGCAAACCTAGCAAGCAGGTCGTCGAACAGAAGCTTGCGTGTTCCTGTAACGGTATCTCTCGCTGGCTTTGGGTCTCAGAAGAAACCTTCGCCAACACCGTCGATCAAGCGCGGGAAAGCCGAGAAGCTTCTCAAAGAGCACGGCAGTCCACCCGGTCTACGAGTAACCGCGGGTGGCCGAATAGTTCCCAGCGACCTTCCACCGCTTGGGACGTCCAGATACGGCGACAGCACTTACAGGCCACAACAAGCACTGCGTGCCGCCCCAGGCAACATAATGCCAGCACAGGCTCAGTCAAACGGCAACAACACAGCCCGCATCGAGGTGATTGGCGGTCAACCGGTCATATTTGTCGGGGATCGCATGTATGCAGTACCAGCAGAAATTCCTTCCGTTGGACCTACCGCTATGGACCCGACAGTCAAGCAGATGCCTGATCCTTCAGCTTTGGCTCCTCATAGCGCCATGCCAGGACCTAGCTTTGGCCCGTCACGCTCCAACACTCACACACCATTTGCCGGCATGGACATCGCCACACTCAAGACGCAACAAGCTTTGAAGAAACAAGAGCTGCGTACGGTAGAACAGACTGAGGTATTGCAAGCAAGTCATCAAAGCGAGGCGTGGCGTGTGGGCATGATTGAAAAGAAGCGATGTCTCATCGTGGAGCTTGATGCGCTGAGGAAGCAGATAACGGCCCTTGAAGCTGAAAACACCGCTGTCCATGTCAACTCATTTCCTGGCCCGATTGGTACCGGTTCAGCAACGATGCCTCCGTTTGGAGCTCCATTCCAGCAGCCCTTTGCTGCTTCCAACTACCCATTTGGTCCCGCCAATCCATATGCAGCTATGCCAATGTATCAGCCCCAACCGCAGTCTTTCGGTGCCTTTCCAAGCTTCCCCACAGCGGAGCCAGCACCGTTTGTTCCACCACCGACAAACACACCACAGTCCCCTCCAGGATCTGCCAGCCGTCGCTCTCGTGCCATTGAGATCAAGCCTCCACCGCCCGAAGAAGCTAAGAAGGCTTCTGCGTTGAACCCGAAGAGCCCTACCTACGAGCCAGCCACAAAATCCAATACGACACAAGGAACTATGCAGCCTACTGCCTCATCTCAGCAGCGCTCAAACTGGCAAGGCCAACAAGTGTTAGAAACGGGAAATCGTCAACACCGAACTTCGTCACAGAAACATAGTCTATCTAGCATCGATACCATGGACTTTTTCCCTACAAACACTCATGAGCACTCATCCACTCGAGTAGCGCCACAGAGCAACGAGAACAAGCACTCGTCCAACGAGAACACGGCCGTTCCATCTACCCCAGAGAAACTCTGGCCTGCTAGCCCATGGAACGAAGGACACTCGGGACGTTCAAGGAAGCAAGAGGCAGCACCCAAGCTCACTTCATGGCCGGAAGTATTCGGGAAGCAGCCTTCACTTTCATCCCTGGGCAATAGTGCTGCGGGCCAACAGTTTTCGGCTATGCTGGAGCGTGCTGGTACCACAGTAACCTCTGCTCCAAGCAGCAGCGCAGCTCCACGAACGAACTCGGATCAGCGCGGCGGCACAGATGAGAACTGGCCGTTCCCTGGAAAACCTGTGACGCATGTCCCATGTACATACCAGGAGGGCTACCAGGCAGGCTATGACCACGTTGGTATTCCTGATAGCCCTGAGGTATTGCAAGGCTACATTCAAGGTCTTTTGCACTTCCTCACGGATGAAACGAAGAAGCGCCAAGCAGAGTACCAACGCGGTGCTGAATCCAGGACTCCTTCGCTACGAGGCCTCGTTGCTGGGTCTTTACCTCACGATTCGGCCGTCAATATGAGCATCAACAACAACAGCATGAATGAAAGTCAAGAGAATAATCGCCGTGTAGCGTCAGAGATACAGTACCTCAATGCTCCCGTCATGTTCCCGCCGCGAATGAAAGACCAAGGCATTGCATTTCGTGAAGAGAGACATTCGAACGGTGGATCATCCCAGCAACCGTTTGGTACCCAAATTCAAAATCGTTCCCAGAACACACCGTGGAGCATTCAACGCTTTTACCCCACACCCAAGGAACTGAGCTCAAGCGAATTGGGCGGATACAGCGGGCCTGGTGCTCGGTCGTTTGCTAACCATCGCCTGTCAGGATTGGATGGCGCCATGGACGATCTGTCAGAGATGATCAACGAAACGCGCATTGACGAGGGTCGTCGTTCTGCTGCAGCAGACAAACGCTCCAATGAGACGCCTGGTGTGGAATATGAAGAGAGCGAGGCATCATGCTTCAAGAGTAGCAAAGGCAAGCAGAAGGCTGCATCCCCGGCAAAGACAATGGACATTGAGCGAGACATGACAACGACGTCGTCGCCTGCACCTAGCTCGCCAAAGAAGGGCGGAGAACAGTCGCCTGCCAAAGCAAAGCTCGAACAGGTGACTAACAAGTTCCGACGGAGTAAGAAAGACGACCCCCGAAACATGTCTCCCGACGAGCGTAAGACACGTTCAGACAAGTGGCGACAGCGCTTCCAGCAGCTCAAGAGGACGGAGTTGGAAGAGACAGAAGTACATGGTGCGAATTCACGCACTTGAAAGTCGACGTGGTGAGCCGGCACTGGCCCCTGTACGTACGGATGCCCGTCCGCACTTGCGAAGCAATCAGCCTCGGTATGTGTCAGAAGGGGTGGATATTTCGTCTTATCGACAATATGTTTCGAGGGCCATGACGACAAGGCCGTTTGCAGAGTTTCAACAGCAGCAGTGGTACATGATGGGTTTGGTCGGGTGGATTACTGGTTAAGAATTTGTTTTGTTACGGACGGACTGGGCCAGAACAGCGGCCCATGACGGTGAAGGAAAAGTGTTAGCGGTCTTAGTCACGGATATCAGGTATATGATTCAGCCAGGACATGTTAGATAGTCAACATGGCCAGCGATTGGGTATTTGCATAATACAAAGTAATACAAAGTCTGGTCTTGGTCATGGTATCGCATCTGTGAGTGAGGCGAGGCGAGGCGAATGTGCACGGGCGATGTGTGGGAGCGGCGGATAGGATGCGAAACGCGCGCATTAGCTGGTGTTAGTACAGTTCTAGAACAGATTGGCGATTGGCGTTGAGAGAGGGTCATGGTCAGGGGATGATGGAAACGGCCGAGAGGTAAGTACTTACTAGGTACGGGGTCATGGACTCGGGTCAGCATTCAGCAACGCGGAGTTGTGGCGCTTCGGGCAATGATGTGGCCCAGTTGATGTCAAATGTTGTGGCAGCAGTTGTCGAATATGGGCCGCCGTGTTTGGTGCGATGACGTGCCACTGCTTCCAAGGTTCTGCGTTGCTGATAAATGCGAATGGGCGTGGGCGATGCTAGCGGGTGTGGATGCAGACTGCAGAGTGCGCCGGTCGTGGGGAAGGCACGTGCTGCGACGGTAAGTACACACATACGTACATAGCGGGCGGCGCAGCAATTGCGCACTTCGGCAGGGACGAGGGAATTTACCATGGGGGCCGATGCTTTGAAATACACCATGTACTTACAAATGAGGCCGACGTGATATTGATATGGTGTTGAGTCGGACCGGCCCTCAGGCTGGCCGGCTGCAGGTGGGCTGAAAGGGTAGCAGTAGTGAAGGGCTGTCGATAGTCCATCGCCTCGCCCGCGTCTTCCAGACAAGCATCCGCATCTCACAGGCCCCACCTGCCCTCCGCCATCATTCGCCATTCGCCGCTGCCCTAGCTCGTACCCACGACGGCTCTGCTTTCCCATCCTAACACCACACCACACCACACCTGCACCGCTCCCTGCACCTCTCCGCTCCTCTCCCCGGCTCAGCAGTGAACGTCTTCGCTCTTCGCTGCATGCACACGTTCTCGCCCATTGCCCATTGCCTCCCGTCTCCCGTCTCCCGCCTGTGCCAGCGCCTCTATAACGGGCACATTCTTTCGCGTACCGCCGTCCCGGACGCTCCAGCCACACTCGCCCGGCCGCCCTGCACTTTGACCTCATCCCAACGTGCCATGTCCCACTGACCCTGGAACGCGCCATCGTCAACCACCCCCCCGAGTCTCTGTTGTTCCGTCGTCGCCTCGCCTTGCCACATAGATACATCACTCCTCCCGTAGCCTACTGCTCCCTGCCGTCGACGTTGTGCGACTGCTATGACGCAGCTGTTCACCTCGTCCTCACCAAACCATACCACCATGACCGAGAAACGGACCTTCTCGGGCAAGGCTCTGTCCACCAACAAATCCATCAATGGCAAGGACGGCCAAGTCTCACAGCGCATCAAGAACTTCTTCCGCATCAACAGCAGCAGCGACACCCGGAAGCTTTCCGATGAAGGCAACGCGCCTGGCAAGAATGAAAAGTCGGGCTTCCGCCAGTCGAGATTCATTCCTCACATTACCCGCAATCGCTCGCAGACGGTTGCTAGCGAAGGCAACCCCCTAGACGACTCCGTGTCGCCGACCGCCCACGCCAACCCCTACTTTGCCCACCAGGGACCACCGGCCCTACGCCATCACAATGAAGGCAGCGTGCCCCCATCTCCCCCAGACACACCCGCGATACCCAAGACGCAAGTGAATGGTGTCACTGCTTCGGACGACCATGCTACGACGGCTGGGAAGGAGGAATTGGCAAGGAAACTGCGAAGGGTAGCTTCTGCTCCCAACGCCCAGGGCTTGTTCTCGTCAGGGAAGTCTACTGAAAGACCGCAGACTGCAGAACTTGGCAAGCAGCCCGTCCTACACCACCCCAACTCGTCCACCCTGAGCATGGTCGAAACAAATTCCGTCGACTCGACCCATCTGCTGCCCACGGACGCCAGCAAGCCGATACCTTCGCCGGGCCAGATCCGACAGGCGGCAGCCTTCAGGAGGACTTACAGCTCAAACTCCATCAAGGTCCGCAACGTCGAGGTTGGCCCGGGCAGTTTCGATAAAATCAAGTTGATCGGTAAGGGTGACGTTGGCAAGGTATACTTGGTGCGGGAAAAGAAGTCTAGCAGGCTATACGCCATGAAGGGTACGTGAGGCGTGTAGAAACACTAGCCTGTGCTAACAACAGTTAGTCTTGAGCAAGAAGGAGATGATTAAGCGGAACAAGATCAAGCGTGCCTTGGCCGAGCAGGAAATTCTGGCTACCAGCAACCACCCCTTTATTGTTACTCTATACCACTCTTTCCAGTCCGAAGACCACCTCTATCTCTGCATGGAATATTGCAGCGGTGGTGAGTTCTTCCGCGCCCTACAGACCCGACCCAACAAGTGCGTCGACGAAGATGCCGCGCGGTTTTACGCTGCCGAGGTCACGGCTGCATTGGAGTACCTCCATTTGATGGGCTTCATCTACCGTGACTTGAAGCCAGAAAGTACGTCACGGCCCACCTCTGCGGCGACCACAGCTAATTTTCTTAGACATCCTCCTCCATCAGTCCGGTCATATCATGTTGTCAGATTTCGATTTGTCAAAACAATCTGATACTGGCGGTCGCCCAACCATGATTCTAAGTGGCCGAAGCGGTACTTCCTCCAATAACCTTCCCACCATTGACACCAAATCATGCATAAACAATTTCCGAACAAACTCCTTTGTCGGCACTGAAGAGTACATTGCGCCAGAAGTCATCAAAGGCTGCGGACATACGAGTGCGGTCGATTGGTGGACCCTTGGTATATTGATTTATGAGATGCTGTACGGAACTACGCCCTTCAAAGGCAAGAACCGTAACGCAACCTTCGCCAACATTCTCCGAGACGAGGTGCCATTCCCAGAGGGTTCTGGTGCGCCACAAGTGTCAAAGTACGTTTGCGCATACATATTCTAGTCGTCTTGTACTAACAACTTATAGCCTCTGCAAAGGCATCATCCGCAAGCTCCTAATCAAAGATGAAACCCGACGACTTGGATCCCGTGCCGGCGCCTCGGATATCAAGACTGCACCATTCTTCAAGACAACACAATGGGCGCTGCTAAGACACATGAAGCCACCGATCATCCCACACCAGGGCCAGGGTATCGAGACTCCCAACTTCCGGAATGTTAAGGAGTCCCAGAGTGTTGATATTGGAGCCTCGAGAGTCAAGGGCGTGCCTTTGGACTCTGGTCTAGCCACGCCAATGGGCGAAGTGGCAGATCCATTTGAAGAGTTCAACAGCGTCACCCTTCATCACGATGGAGACGACCATCACCACGACAGCCACGATTCCAGTCAATACAGCCTGACCCAAACCAGTTCTCATCGGTAGGACCGTGGGTGATTCACAAAATAAAGCATTGTATGCATAAGGAGAGGATCTCCATGTGTGATATTCTCTCGACTCCACTCATTCGCGTTCCACGGATAGTAGACAAACAGGTCTTTTCCAACAACGGCGTTTCAACGGTGTTATACTTCGTCTTCTTCGTGGATATTGTCTCGGGCCTTCTAGTCATCATCGCAATTGCAGCAAAATATTTCTGGCGTTGTCTGTATTTCATTTTCAGAGCATGGGTTTGTTGAGGAGCATGTGGTCTAAGGGCGGAAGCAGCTTAGACAGTAGGCAGGAGTGTGGGTGAAATAGGTTGTTGTAGGAAAGGAAAGGGGCAATGAGGAAGTCATTTTTGAAAGACTGATGTCGTGATGCTGCTAAACTGATGTTGGGTTGTGACGCTTCTGAAATGTGCATGGACCACGCGGAGTTTGCGGGGAAGACGCGACGAGTGATTCGCAGATGCCCAGCAAACAACGCGACCAAACCGAACAACTGTCGGATCAACGCCCCACCAAGAAGCCACTGATAGCACACCCTTGGGTGTAGTTACTGCAGCAACTCGCAGAGTGACGCGAGTCTGAGACGCTTTATCTTATACACATACACATTTACAGTGCCGAACAACCCACGCCTTACACTTTACCAAGGCGCGCAAGCAGCACAAGCAGTGCTTGCCCGCAATTGACAAGACACGAACAACGAGAAGCGAAGACAAGTTACAAAAGACAAAATGGCCTCCGACTCCCCGCCCGACGCTCACCTCTCCGCCTCACAAATGTCCTCAGGCTCCAGCGACGAAAGCCTCACGCCCCTCGAGCAAGAAGTGCTAGATGAATATGCCAGGTTACTCGGAAACTTGAATACGGTAATTTTCTCCCCTCTCCTGTTCTTCCTCCCTCCCAATCAATAAATCTGACAAACACTAACCCTCCACGCAGATGTCCACCCTCCTCCTCACCCTCTCCAACGCCCCCAGCGCCGCCATTCTCGACGGCCTGCGGGGCCTCGAACGCAAGACATCACTTGTCTTCACACTGTTGAAAGCGAGTGTTTACTCGATTGTGTTGAACCAGCAGATTGATACGGATTTGGGTGAGGGCGTGGTGAGGGAGAGTGAGGGGTTGCAGAGGGATGGGGGAAGAGGGGAAGGGATTATGGATTTTGGGGATGAGTAGATGGATGGGGGAGAGAGGACAAAAGTGTGGATATGATACCCCGGGCGCTGTGTATAAGAAGGCAAGATGATATGATGGTAGATGCTATGCATACAAAGGATATCTACAATGCTACTATATTCATACCAATACCAGTGCTATAATGGCATGTGTACGGTACAACTCTATTCCAGCCATATGATACAGGATTCACATGTTCATAGACACAAAAGTAAACTTCTAGTGAATGGATCCACCATAGTAAACCTTGCGCACGTCAACCAGCTTCTTGCCTCTCGCCCTGGCAATCTCATCGGGTAGCCGCTGGTTAGTCAGAGCTTCCCACGTAGCCTTGATGACGTTCATCTTGTTTCTTGAGCGGGGTGTTTTAGCCGACAGGTCTTGGAGGCCGGCGGCACGGGCGAGTTCGAAGATGAGATGCTGGACACGGAGACCGAAACCTGGTTTTACAACGTTAGACTACAAGGCTATGAGCAGAGTGGGAAGAATAAGTCTTTACCTGGTGGTCTCGCGAAGAGCTGGACTTTTGTCGCGCCCACCTTCTTCTCCAAATCTCCAAACGTTGTCCTGTTTTCATACCGAGGTACGGGCCTTAGATTTCTAATCGCGCTCATCACGCTCTGTTTCCGCCCCTCGTCGGGTTCCACGGATTTTCCCTCTCCAATGCCCAACAAACCGTCATTGTTCCCGGCAATGGTCAAGTAGTATAGACTCCTGATCTTGCCCATACGCGTCTGGTTGGTGACGCCGTGGACGACGAGCGTCTTCACCTTGATACCACGCAACTTCTGCTTGTCCCAGCCCAGGTATTGCAATAGTCGCTTTTGTCGTGGGTCCTCCTCCTCTTCGGACGACAGACGGCGCGTCTGGCGGGCCATGCGGTTCTCCACTCGCGGTAGATCAGGTGCGATGACCGAGTGTCTTTCGTCACCTAGTGCCCGCAATGCATGTGGGTTCTTGGAATAGTACGTCGCGCTTGGATCCAGCGTGGCTTGTGTGATTGCTGCGTCCATGGCATTGCGCAGCTGCGATTCGTCTTCTGGAATACCGTCCGGGTACATTTTCGCCAGGTTCTCCGTCGCAAGGCGGGAAATGTTTGCGTCGCGCTCCACCTCGTTGGCGATTCTGAAGGTTTTCTTGCCAATAATGTCGTCGCCTGTCAGTCGCTCCGGGCGATCCGTCACCGGGTCGACTTCAGCGAGGTCATCTTCGTAATTGAGACGCCATGCGTCTGTTCTCCGCTGGCCTTGTATGAGGACATCGCGGGCGTCGATTGTGGATTCTGCGGCTTTGATGGCGGCAATTTGCGACGGCGTATACTTTTTTTCTAGGAGCGCTGTCTCCGAGGTATCGAATTTTGGGTATTCCGTCTCTGCGGCTTCGTTGAGGAGCTTGAGCTCTTCGGCCTTTATTGAGGGGTAGTGCGGTCTCTTTTTGCGGGCTTGTCGAGGTGCAGAAGCGTGGAAGGTGCGGTGCGGAGGTGGTCTAGAAAGCGTCGTAGATGCTGCTTTGGTAAAGAGACATCTTGCGGGGCGGCAGACACTCATTGTTGCCCTGGAACCTCCTCTTGAGGGCCAATTGAGTGCAGCAAGGCGGTAATAGCGGGTGGCCTGCGCACCTTGGTGACGATCAAAGTGAAGTTCGGAAAGTTCAATGTTGACTAAGCGGGAGGGCAGTAATTGCTTCCAGCCAATCGCCGCTCTGCCCATCTGAGTGACTAACTTTTCTCAACTTTGAACATTTGCTGTATGTGCTCACGAATTCTTACTCGACCGCTTCGGACACTGCTGGCCAGTAAGCAGTATTCTCAAATTGCCAGATACAGAATGGCTTCATCAGCAGACAATGTGGCGCCTATTGAGAGCAACGGCGCAAAGAGATATTTCGAAACACCTCTACGAAGTGAGGAGGGATCACGAGGCAACTACAGATTCAAGAATAAGCGGATGAAAAATGGCCATGCTGAGCAGAGTACAATCCTCAAAACGAATGGGACCAACGAGGAAGTCTTACTCGAAGACGTGACAGCGCTCATTAAAAATCTCAATGTGCAAAGAGAAGGAAAGGAAAACTCGACCAACCTGCCAGAAAGGTTCACCGAGATCCAAGTTGAGATCAAGGAAATATCATCGACAGGAGATGGTATCGGTTTTCAGCAAGGCGCAGAGTCGGACCAAGTCTACGTCGTGCCCTTTAGCGTACCAGGAGATGTTGTAACCGCGCGGCCACACAAACACTTTGAGAAGGAAAAGTACTCCATGGCTGATTTTGTAAACGTCATAACGCCCTCGCCTCACCGTGATGATTTGCTAGTCAAATGTCCCTACTTTGCCAGTTGTTCAGGTTGCCAATTCCAAATGCTACCCTACGACTTCCAGCTGCAGCACAAGAGGTCCATTGTTGAAAAGGCCTACAAGAACTTTTCAAATCTACCTCCTGAGCCCATTCCCACCATTGGCGACACTATTGGCTCACCACTCCAGTACGGATACCGCACAAAACTCACTCCCCACTTTGACGGCCCACCAGACGCCCGCCGCAGTGATGGCCGCAACGGAATCAAACGTACCTTCAAAGAACTCCCACCCATCGGCTTCATGAAGAAAGGAACCCGCATAACAATCGACATAGAAGACTGTCCCATCGGGACAGATGCCGTACGTGCCGGCAACAAGCGTGAGCGCAATCGCGTGGCAGACACCCTTTCCACGTACCACAAAGGCGCCACACTACTCCTCCGAGAAAGCACAACCCGAGTCCCAAAAGCAGACTACGACGTGAGCAAAGAAGAGGACAGCGACGCTATCGTCGAAGACAGAGGCGATCATATCCACATCAAAACATGTACAACGGACTCCAACGCAAAAACCACAGAATACGTAGACGACTTCCAATTCGTCAACCCCGCTGGTTCCTTTTTCCAAAACAACAATAGCATCCTCCCTGTCTTTACACAGTACATCCGCGAACACATTTTACCCTCGACCCCGGGACACAAGATCACGCATCTCATCGATGCATACTCTGGCTCTGGGCTCTTCACCATCACGCTATCGAGCTTGTTCAAAAGCTCACTCGGAATCGATATCTCGTCCAGTAGCATAGAATCTGCATCTACAAATGCAAAGCTGAACAATTTGCCGGAGAGCTCGACGCGCTTTATTGCTGCAGATGCGGCGAGGTTGTTTGCATCGATCGAGTCGCCGGCTGAGGAAACGGTGGTTATGCTTGATCCGCCGCGCAAGGGCTGTGATGAGTCTTTCTTGCGCCAGTTGGTGCAGTATGGTCCAGCGAGGGTGGTGTATGTGAGCTGTAATGTTCATACGCAGGCTAGGGACATTGGTGTCTTGGTCGGTGGCATGAAGGGAGTTGATGGCGGGTTCGGAAAGGGAGAGGGGTGCTATGAGATTGAGAGTTTGAGGGGCTTCGATTTCTTCCCACAGACGGGGCATGTGGAGGGTGTTGCTGTACTGTCCAGGAAGGCTGGTGGGCAGAAGAAGGAATAGGAAGCTCAGGCGTGATGGCTTTAGGCAGTGCGATGGAACGTCAGTACGTACTGTGAGGATGCGCTGTCTGTCGATACAGTTAAACATTGTTACAAACCATCAGTGTGTATCACGGGCTTTTCAACTCTTTGGCTGATAATCTTGTCATTCTCGCTAGGTTTTGCTAATTCTCATGTTCGCTCAATAAGCCATTCCATCATCTACATGGGTCTCGGAAGGTTGCAGTCTTCTTACGTGCTACCAGGTCCGCCCAGCAGCGCGAATCTTCGGACAATGCTGGGACCAATCTCATCATACTCTGCCTTGGTGTGGCAGTAGCTCTTGAACTCGGGCGTCTGACCAAGCAAGCTGCCTCCGAACCATGGGCCGTGTCGTTGTCTCTTGTGTGTGATGACTTGCACATCCAGACCACCGCTCTTTGCACCTCCACTCCGCGCTTCTGATGCCTTGATCCTAGCATCCACCATGTGCCGGATATCACGCTGCAGACGTCGGCCAAAGTCCTTGTATAGTGTTGAACCACCTGAGAGCACAATGTTCTTGTACAGTCCTCTGCGCACATCGATAGGCGAGGATTGAATAACGGTGTCGACGATGGTGGGTAGTGGGGTCAGGAAATCGGACGAGTAGATCTCAGGGTTGAAGAAGATCTCAGGCGCAAGGAAGCGTTCGTAACCGACGTCGACGGTTGTGGTCTTGCCATTGGGGTAGTTGACGACGTGTTTCTTGAAGCGGTCGTCTGATTCACGGTCGAAGCGTGCGAATTCCTTGACAATATCCGGGCACACGTAGCAGTATTCCTCCTTGATGCGTTCTGCAGTCTGGAGAGACGAGTCGGGCT